AACAGAGAGAATGGTACTCCCTAGCAACAAGGGATGTACCTTTGGCCACCACGGTGAGGTGGACCACCTTGTCCACGATGATGTTGTACTCGTAGTTTTCGTAGGACAGGATGCGGTTGAAGAAGCAGCGGTAGGTGCCCGAGTCGTTGAAGGTGACGTTCAGCAGGTAGATGGAGGCGTCCTGGATGTCGTTGCTCTGCTTGCTGCCCAGCCAGCTGATGCGGTCCATGAACAGGTCGTGCTCGATGTTGGGCCCGCCCTCTTTGTAGGTGTAGATCTGTGGGGGGGGGGTAAACATGGAGGCCGCTGTTAGCTGGATCCCAGATCCAGGCCAGACCCGACTGGTCAGGTCAGAACCTGTTTCCATCAGGCTCCTCCCACTCTGGACAGTGTCTGATAAACTGGACCATTTTCAGGGTTTCCAGCCTCGTTTCCTGGTTTTAAGCTTTTTTAATTACGTCATTTGAGGCCCAGACTCCAGAGATTACACTAATTACGTTAATTAGAACAGGATTTAGCATTTATGGAACAAAAAAACTGACCTAAAACATCCACATCCGAAGCCAGTATAGACCAACTGAGCCAAGTATAGACCACCACAGCCCAGTATAGACCAGCTGAGCTCAGTATAGACCATCAAACCACAGTATAGACCACGTGAGCCCATTATAGACCACCTGAGCCCAGTATAGACCATCTAACCCCAGTATAGACCACCAGAGCTCAGTATAGACCACCTCAGCCCAGTATAGACCATCTAACCCCAGTACAGACCACCTGAGCCCAGTATAGACCATCTAACCCCAGTATAGACCATCTGACCCTAGTATAGACCAAGTGAGCCCAGTATAGACCACCTGACCCCAGTATAGACCAAGTGAGCCCAGTATAGACCAAGTGAGCCCAGTATAGACCACCAGAGCCCAGTATAGACCATCTAACCCCAGTACAGACCACCTGAGCCCAGTACAGGCCATCTAAACCCAGTATAGACCACCAGAGCCCAGTATAGACCATCTAACCACAGTATAGACCACCTAACCCCATTATAGACCATCTAACCCCAGTATAGACCATCTGAGCCCAGTATAGACCATCTAACCACATTATAGACCATCTTACTCCAGTACAGACCACCTAACCCCAGTATAAACTATCTAACCCGAGTATAGACCATCATGTGTGAGCTGCAGGACTTGTGCCTGGGTGTGAACTCACGGGAACAAAGTCGGACTCCCCTTTAGGCCTGAAGTACCACTCCACCGTGGCTGATCCGGGCACCTCGCTCCGCCTCTTGCAGGAGATGCAGCCCAGTTTAAAGCCTTTGCCCGCCACGGCCTCCGTGTCCGAGTCCACCTCTGCGCAGGCGGCCTCGCCTAGGCCGGCTGTGGGGGGGGTGGGGGTTAGTACAGAGTGTGGCTTTGGGAGCGGCAAAGCGGCGGTGGGACTCACCCATCACGCTGCAGAGC